ACTTACTGCTTCTCTAACCTGTTAAGGAAAGCCAATTAACTAAACTGTTCACAAAAAAAGCGTTTGTCATTAAAAATTATTTCCTCTCTCCTCACACACACGGCAGATTGCAAATCTTACTGTCAGATAGCACAACTGAAGCCAAAAGCTTATGAACACAGAGAACGATGGCACTTCTTCCATTCTTTTTTTGCTGAGATACATTTTTTAGCAAGAGGGATTCAAAAGAGTGCAGGTTTTGCAAATTTGGGACAGTTCAGAATATTTTAGAGGAAAACCTGAAAAAGTCTTAAGTATTTCATTCTGACAGCCTTTAAAACGTAAGTGATTTTGTAGTTCAAAGTTGGTGATTTTGAAAAAATTAATTCTAGCTTCTTATAACTTCAAAGCAGTGCATGTGTGTGTTTGATGTGAAGTGAAACATTTTTCAACTTCTTGGTCTGGGAAAAAATGATTGGGTTGGGGGGGTGGGAATATGTTTTGGCTCAATTGAAAACAATAGTCTCAAAATGCTGAAGCCTCCAAAACAATTCAGTACTTGCAGAGTAGTGCTCTACAGTTTTAATTGTTACAATTAAGCAGGATCTTCAAGAACAATACCAAAATCAAAAAGTCTGAAATGGATTTAAATCCTTCTGTTTTAATTTCTCCCTTGAACAACCTTGCTCCTTTTTCTAGGTTTTTGAAACAGCCTGAGTTGTAACCATATTACTGGACAACAGATGTTTAACCTGCAAACCCTTTCTTTTACCTAGGCAGATACTGATAGTTCATCTCAGCTCCAAGACAGCAAAAAGCTTCATTCTTAATGAAGAGAAAGGCATTATCATTTAGAAATCAACTATCATTCTCCGTAAAGAAGAATCTGATATCTAGGGCTACTAGTAGCTGTATTATTTGAGATAGTATTTTTCATAAGCCTCTAAGCTTCATGGCTAACACCTGCCTGTCGATGGAAAGTGGTGAATGAATTCCTTCTTTTGCTTTGCTTGCATGCATGGCTTTTGCTTTACCTATTAAACTGTCTTTATCTCAACCCATGGGTTTTGTCACTTTCACTCTTTTGATTCTCTCCCCCATCCCAAGGAGGGAAGTGAGCGAGCGGCTGTGTGGGGCTGAGCTGCCGGCTGGGGTAAGACCTCGACACCCATGCCAGGGCTGGACTGTCCAGCCGGGCAGCCTGATTAGGGTTGCTGCTCTGAGGCACCAGTCTGATTGCCTCAAGGAGGCTATAATTCACAAAAGAGGCACACCCACAGCAATCCAAGTGTGGCACATGGAGCTCCATCTTTTCTGTCCTCAGTCTCAATATTCTCAGTGGAGCAGATGAAGACTCTAGCTCTTTTCTATGAAGGGAATCACTGCTCACCTGCAAAATCCCACAATTGCACAAAAAAATAGTAGAGAGGAGGGGAAGAAAAAAAAAATCAAGCTTTTCCCTAAGTCCTTCCCCCACTCCCCCCACCATTGCAAGGTTTACCTTTCGGATTGACAGAGTCAAGAAACAACCTGGTATACCAGAAGATCATTAGAAGGCTTGCTCTATCAAGTTCTCTCCTGTGAAAGTGGTAGTCACAGTTAAGCCACTGAAGGACAGTGACCACATATATCTAATGAATTTCAGCATCCTCCAAGTAAGAATCACATTGAAAACTGTGAAACCAAACCCTAGGGCAGAGGACTGAAACTGATCTTAAATCCCCTCAGGTCAGATGCAAGGAAATTAGAAGTGCTGGACTCAGCATGGAGTCACAGGGTGAACACACACAATAAGGGAAACAGGAAAGCAAGGAAAAAAGCAAAACAGGATCATTTAAATGAGTTTTGAAAGGTGACTGTATCTAAAAATGCATCTTCTTCCTGGAAATCTCACTCAAGTGACATCGGTCAAAAGACTATGAATCATAGCAGTTAAGAAGCAAGACAGAAGTTAGGTGAAAAGCAGATAACTAACTACACATGCAAACAGCAGAAATGTATTTCATTGCATCAGAAGACACACATCTGTGGGAGAACTGGCAGGTCTGCTGGGCTACCATGGAGTAAAGGGAGGACAATCTTTAAGGAAAGCCAAGTGGTTTCTGTCCATCAGCTTATTTAACCTCTCAGAACAGAAGAGATGTTGAAGTTTTAAAAACTGAGCAGATGACTGTACAAAGCATTTTATGCACAGCATAGAATTAATCAAGGGAATCCTCTGTTCACAAATATCACTGTAGCCAAAAGCCAACAACAATAATTAAAAAATTAGCTTTCTGTACAGTTAAGAAGATCCAGTCACGTAAGAAACAGCAGATAAACCACACGCCTCTGGCCCTAAGTCACCCGTTAGAAGACAGCATTGTAAACTTACTTAAAAGAAAGTAATTTCCCAACACACGACATTTTAGCCTGCCTTTACAACACCACAGAGAGAAGAGAATGAACAGTTCCTTGGGTTTCGTCCCAGTACATCACTTTCTATGTTGTAGTATGCACACTAGCATACATTTTGCAAAATGAAAGAAGGAATTAGGATATCTTCTCTTGTCTCTAAATCTTTTGTAGGAAGCACAGAAAGGCTGAAGGACGCATGTCAGATGACTACTGTGCCCAGCATGTCTACACATGTATTTGTTTTTAAGATGGACAGAGACACAGGTGACTGATACTGGTACATAAGAGGAAGGAAAATCTCCCTTCTTAGAGGCAGAGGGGCTTTTGCTCTCCTCCTGACTGGAGGAGGACATAGGATGCTACTCGTTTCCTCTATGCTTCAGACAAGCAAGCTGCCACTGTTCAGCTGACCCCTGACGTGAAACCCGGGAGAAGAAAAAGTTATGTATCATCTGTTTAACCTTTTAAGTTTGGAGAAGGTGAGCTGCTTCATCACATAGGACTGCTGGTTAGTAGGATACACTATGGCTAAGCACAGTAAAGCATTCTTAAGAAAAATAGCATTGCCAAGTATCTAAAAAGTGTAGGACAAAAGACATGAGGATCAGTCTTCATACAAGAAAAGCTCCCCTGAAGCTGAGTAAATGGTTCCTCATTATAATCCAGTTATAATCCATGGCCTACGAGCAAAAGCCAGGATACGAAACAGGATGTTGCTTTTGGTAGAAACTGCCTTGGATTAGACCAATTGTTAAGACTAAGAACTACAAACCAGCAAACCAATACCTTGGTGTTTCATCATATCCAGTGACAGATAAATAGTAGGGGGAAAAAAAAAAAAAAGGAGTTAAAGCAAAGAATCAAATTGACCTGAGCAATAGTCACTGCTAGGAAATAAAAATTACCTGGCAGCCCTGTAAGCATGTGTGTGATCAAGTTATTCAATCAACAGGCAGCTGTAAGATGCATCCATCTAAAATTCTAGGTGCCTCAGCTAACAACTTAATGGCTATCTGTTAACTCTATCCACAGCAGCAGCAGGTATCCACATCTGCAAACAATTGCTCATATGAAGAAGCCTGGGTTTTACTATCAGAGAGCTTCCAGTTCATGTGAAACTTGCAGCACATCCATCCATACGGAACAACCCAGGGCTTAAAAATGAAGATAGGAAAATTTACAATGGGGACTTGGACCAAAAGAGGAGGTGTTGGGGTTTTTTTGGAGGTTTGTTTGTTTTTGTAAAAAAAAAAAAACAAACTGGACAATTATAGCTAGAAGGTAAATTTATAACATTCTCTCAGCTTCAAAGTAAACTTAATATAGGAAGGATGCACCTATGGAAATACATGTGATTTAGCACATTGAATCACAGGGTTAAATGAGGCTAGGTTGCCAAAAGAGATCCTCATATGCACAATCAATACAAATTCAGCACACTAGCCAATGTGCTGTATAAAGAGATGGATGGATATACCATCAGTGCACACTCCTAAACCCCACTTGCACACCCTGAAAATAAAAACAGGAAAAGCATTCATGTAAATATACAGAATCAGTCATAAAAGCCCAAGGTCTTAAACTGTAAGGTTTGGGGTTTTTTATATTCTTCTTAAAGAACATCACAGAACCCCACTTTCTGTTCTGCTCTTTCTCTCCTGCTTCATCCTTTTCGTTCATTATTTACATAGAAATTTTCTCCAGTCAAGTGACCAAGAACATTTCCCTCCACATATACACCTTATGCACATACCTAAGAGCTAAAGCTTGAGTCTCTGGCAGGTCAGTCCTCTTACTGCCAGAGAACCACTGGCCCTGGACATTGAAGATTTCGCTAAAAGAAGCCAAGTAAATACAACTACTAGTAGAGTGCTCATCTTCCTACGCAAAAGCCATGGAACATGTTTCCAGGTAGGTTCAGGGTGGATCAACAGGCTCCCCAGTGAGACATCATCAGTTTGTCAACAAGAGCTACTTCTTTGTATTTGCAAAATGTTTCCCCATAAAAGCAGCTCTGGGAAAAACCCAGAATACTGAAATTCCTCCTAGAAAGACGATATAGGCACAGTGCTAATAAAGGACCTTCATCCCCTTCAGCTACTGGTGAGAACCAGTCATCAAAAGACATATTTCACAAATGGGCTCCTTATTATCCTCCCAGAGACAGGTTCTGTGTTTGCTACCAGTCTTCAATTAGTCCCCATTGTACAGAAAAACTAAAGGCTGACCTTGCCAGTTGTAAATGCACAGAACCCAGAGCTTAGAGGTTAGCTGAGTGATCTTTGTGCTGTATTCGAGATACCTGGAATACTAGAGAGGCAGACACAGCCAGTCAGCCAGAATGTACTATCTTGTAAGTGCGATTGATTTAAGTGGCTTCCTAGAAACGACTTTTGACTTCTCAGAAACTTTGAATACCTCCCTATAAGGAGTCTTAAAAAAAAAAAGAAAAAAGTGAGTGAAGCTACCCACAGGACATCCTGGAGACAAGAACCAAGCAAGTATTTGCATCACCACATCGTCATATCAGGAAGGCTTAAAACAGCAAGCTGGAATTAACTTGAGAAGAGACTGGTATGAAGCTGTAGGTTCTAGGAGAGGGCATGAGGGAAATAAAAACCATTCTGGTCAGGGAGTAACTGGAGGGAGGAGATAAGAAGAGTCACATCCACATAATATAAAGGACATGACTATTTCACAGTGGCGGTGAAATCCATGTTTAGCACTTAAATCAATGGCCTTGTTTCCAACAGTAACTTGCAGCAGTTCCTAAAAATCTCCTCTACGTTGAATTGCGTACAATTTAGCATCAAAAAAAGTAGGCGCTTATTTCACTGGCTAATTTTAGGCATCCAATTTCTAGACCTTCTCATACCTATTTTAGTACCCAGAAGAAACCTGACACTTGGAACGTCTTCCCAGACCTGTATGCTACTGCTGATGCCATGGAGAAAATACACATTTCTTCTTCAGACATTTTTTTCCTTTCCTGCATCTACAGTAATTGACAATATAAAATAAGACACTTGGATATAAATGCTAAATTCTCAGCTGTGACAAATTCAGACAATACTCCAAATATAAATGTCCTAGGTTTTATTTTAAAAAAACAACAAAACTAAAACTGAAATTTGGATCAGCTCTTCCCTGGAGTTCAAGCAGTGTAGAAGTGCAGGGGTGTGGCTCATCTCTGAAATTAGCAAGTGAAAAGCTATTTATATAAGCACAGCAGCAGCCTCGATAACACAGCTAACAGCTCTGTTTAAAAACAGATGGATGATTACTAATTATACACAATCAAAACACAGATGGCACCCTGAAAGGTTAATATCCAGAGTGTATGTCCTTCACAGCTTAAAGACTACTTGATGAAATGTTTCTGGACTGAACAAATTATTTTCTCTGTACAAATTTTCTTTCGTCATATAAAGGCGTAACACAAAGGAACTGTGTTGACAAAATTCCTGTTTATTGACAAAATGAAGAGCTAAAACAAAAGAACCGCCCCATTCTGCTCTGCCAAGCTGTAGCAGTCCTAATCTGCAGGCAAGAGTTTATTTTGCATGCCTATTCACCCCTGACTCTACAAACACTGTGATATTAGATTTTGAAATGTACCTAATGCAGCAAAGGAAATCCCCAAAAGCTCAGCCAAATTTCTGACAACTGAAGGCCAGTTAAGCAAAGTGTGCCAAGATCTTGTCAAGGAGTAGACTTCCTACCTTGGATAAGCATTTCCAAAAAACTGTCTTAACAGCTGAACTCGTGCCAGATAGCCCAACAGTGGGTATACAGTCATCATCTGGAACAGCAGAAATATTCTTGCAACAAAAGACATGATGTCATCACTGGGAAAGTTATCTAGAAAATTCTAAACATAGGAATAATGTTACACTTATCAATGGCAGCTCGATTACATGTATCTGCTGATTTTTAATAGCTGTGTACATAAAAGAAAGGGATAAAAGTCAAGCAACTACAACTGCTAAATGAACTCCATAACATGAAATACCCTCTCCCTCTTTTACAATTGCCTTGCCACCAAATACTAACTGATTTTTGAATATTACAGGACTGATGTCAGCTTTCATGTTAGCATTAAAGATGGAACTATTTTCTAATCTTCCAAACATCCTCAAATAATCAAGACTGTGGAAGGGCCACCTGATTTTTAGGCAGGTGGATTCATATGCTCCTATTACCTATCATATCATACCTACATGTTAAAATCAGTTATTTAATCAGCAAAATTGGATCAAATGATGAAGGGATCATATACTACAAGTGGGAACATCTGAAAAAGTAGTATAAGACTTAAGTATCACAGAAATATGCAAACAGCGTTGTAAGTACTTATGATAACTACAGGAAATAAATGTGAAGAAAGCCACTTATCTATTATTTAACTGTGGATTTCACCCCAGGAAGTTATTTCAAATGGTTCAAAAATCATTTCATGGTTAACAATGGTACCAGTTCTAACTAACTGACAGTCAGAGCAAGCCTTTAAATGCTGCTTTATTGCTAAATATTATGCAAGAGACATGGAACACCTGGCGTAAAATGGATCACCAATTGATAACGCCTATCTTTGAAGTAATTTAGGGTGTGGAAATCAGCTTTGCCTATAAGCAGATAAGAGTTTAATAGCCTTCACAGGGTGTTTCATGTGGTGCTATTATCTGAAGAACTCTGCTGGCAAGGCTCACCACAGTGTTGGACTCCAAACGTACCCATAGTGAGGACTCCTATCTAAACAAGTTTGCATTGTTAGATTTCTTTCTCTGGAGTACCTGAAACCAGTCCCAATGAGTAGGATTGGTCATTGCACACACAACTAAACATAAACATAATACTTTTCAGGATTAAAGAAGCTAAAGAAATTAAAGCCTCAACTGTTCACATGTCGTTTTGGTTCTTTTCTTGCTCCCTTTCACAGACTATTTATTAAATGTTTGGTTTTTATAGAGCTGCTGGCAACCAGGCATGAATATGAATGAGATAACACAAGCATGACTCATCTGCTTGTGGTAGTGCCCATGAGGTGTTAGCCAACTGACCAGAGTCAAGGACAGATGCGTCTGCCAGAGTGAGTCATGAAGCAAGAAGCACTAGCATTTCTTTTCTTAATACATATTTATTAAAAGATCAAGGATGAATATATACTGCAGTAAAATATCTCACCTGTTCAATACACTCTTTGGATAGTGGTGGAGAAGGAAAAGATGCAAAAATTATCACTCCAACATATAGGTATGTTAATCCCACCAGGAAGTACGCAATAGAGAGGTCTCTCACCTGAGGAAAAAATAAAATTTTATTTTGGTCAGCACTGACACACCAAAACAGGCAAAATAAAAACCTCACGAGAAGATTTCTATTGCATTTATTACTGTTATTTTTTGTATTTATTACTGGTTTATATTTATTACTATTACTTTTACATTTTTGCTTTTACTTTCTATTACTTTAATGGGGACTTCAAATCTGGTCCTGGATCAGATCAGAAAGCCACAAGAAGATACCCCAAAGTGGAGCTAGACAAGTATTCTTTATGTATCTACACACAGAAAAGGCACCAAGAAACAGGTATGCCAATAGATGTAGCATGTTATTGCTGGATGCATAGACATACAGTAGTTATCAAAACAAACAAGAAACCCCCCTCTACTTTCTTACATTCACCTACATTCTACTAAGAGCCTTGGGACACAGAGACAGCTGTTGAAGACAAAGAGCCCATCAATGCCACATGTTAAATCTCTTGTGAGCACTAAAATCTTGCAATTAAAGGTATCAGCCTACCCAACTGCAGATATAATGTGAAGGACATTTATTAAGTAGCTGCTCTGAAGTCTAAGAGGATGATACACACCCACTGGCTCCAAACCAGAAACTAATACGTCAGGTTTCTATACGAATGGTGTGATAATGGAAGACATAGCTAATACACCATTAAATAAAAAATACAAATAAACCACAAACAAAACAGAAAGGCATAGGTAGGTACAGAGGTATATATGTCCTTTAGCTTTAGCACTGTATTTTAGAATGACTCTTTCATTTTAAATTGTCTATCCACTTTATTACTGGATTTCTGTAAACACCCCAGGTAAGTGAACTAAGTAACAGTCAAAGATTTTTAGGAGAGCATGCTAATTTATGGTCATAAATCCATATTTAACTATATTACATATACCTGAGCATGGATTTAAACCTTGACTTCAATGTTTACTTCTGACAAGTTTGACTATATTTATAAAGTATCTAATATATAAAAAGATTGCCAACTACACAAAAATGATTGAAAGTTTTTTTACCATTTAATATTGGAAAATAAGCAGCAAATCTGTTCAAGCACATTATGAAATTGCAGAATCCACATATACATCAGAATGACCTCACAGCAATGTACTTAGTGGATTATTCTTCTACATCAATTGGTTTTTTTGGGGGAATAAATTGGGAAACCATTTATTTCCAGTTGTATTGGGTTTGCGTGGCAACATTTTGGTAGCAGGGGGGCTACAGGGGTGGCTTCTGTGAGAAGGTGCCAGAAGCCCCCCTGTGTCTGACAGAGCCAATGCCAGCCGGCTGCAAGATGGACCCACCAGTGGCCAAGGCTGAGCCCATCAGCGACGGTGGTCATGCCTCTGGGGTAACATAGTTGAGAAGGAAAAAATACCTAGTGGGATCTTTTGCAGCCAGAGTCAGAAGATGCGAGAAACTCTGCAGACACCAAGGTCAGTGCAGAAGGAGGGGAAGGAGGTGCTCCAGGCACCGGAGAAGAGATTCCCCTGCAGCCCGTGGAGAAGACCATGGTGAGGCAGACTGTACCCCTGCAGCCCATGGAGGGTGATGCTGGAGCAGATATCCACCTGTTACCAGATATCAGACTGTTTTGGAAGGTCTGCACCCCGTGGAAAGGACCCATGTTGGAGTAGGTTGTGAAGAATTGCTGCCCATGGGAAGGGCTCACGTCAGAGAAGTTGCCGAAGGACTGTCTCCTGTGGGAGAGACCCCATGCTGGAGCAGGGGCAGAGTGTGAGGAGTCCTCCCCCTGAGAAGGAAGGAGCGGCAGAGACACGGCGTCATGAACTGACTGCAACCCCCATTCCCCGTCCCCTTGCGCTGCTGAGGGAAGGAGGTATAAAATCAGGAGTAAGGTTAAGCCCAGGAAGAAGGGAGGGGTGGTGGGAGGTGTTTTAAGATTTGCTTTTATTTCTCATTGTTCTACTCTGTTTTCCTTGGTAATAAATTGGATTAATTTTTTCTAAGTTGAGTCTGTTTTGCCCATGACAGTAATTGGTGAGTGATCTCTTCCTGTCCTTATCTCAATCCACTAGCCTTTTGTTGTATTTTCTCTCCTCTGTCCAGTTGAGAAGGAGTGATAGAGTGGCTTTGGTGGGCACCTGGCCTCCAGCCAGGGTCAACCCACCACACTAGTTATTAACTGATTATATACTGTATAAGCTTATGTTACACATTACAAAACACTCATTACCTTATAGCAAACCATTTGTCCAGCTGCTGCTAATAATCAGCTTCTTAAAGGATTACTAGTAGTGCTTCAATACGTGACCCTATTTTCCTGTGACTGAGAAGCAAGTCTTATTAGCTCAGGCAAAGCACCGAATTATTAGGACTATATGGCTTCCAGACCATGATCATAATCATGGCCGCCAGCCACCTCACTGAGTGTGGGCAAGGCTTGCTCACATCTGTGCATGGAAATGTTCCCTTAAGTGTTTCTTCACACTGTCTCGGTGACAAAAGAAGTACATCCTGTACCTTTCTGAGGTCTTCCAAGGGCAAGGTGGTCCCTGAGAAAAGTATACAATAGTAGATTACAAGTTTCAAGAAAAGTTCAGAAGGAAGCCAGTTTTTAGTGAGGGAACCGGAATCACCTGCTCATTTTGCCAGTGCTTTTGGGGTAGAAGATTGATGCCTTTTTCCCATCAGCCTGCCAATGACATTTCTCATCAGACAGCAATATGCTGTTAACATATACCCCAGGGTGGCCCTCATGCCCCTGTCAACTGCACACTTCCAGCTGCAACCTCTTCCTCCTGCTGACCAGGTACATGCAGTTGGAAGATGCTTCTCTAGTCTTCACTCTCCTCATACTGGTCACTGAGTAAGGACTATCAATCTCCATCAGAGGTTAAGCAATAGCATTTTTTTAAAATTACTCCCAGAATTTCTCCTCAGTGAGATGAGCTGTGCAGATTTTTATATAACAGCTACATCTTCAAAAGCACCAGTACCCATCCTAAAAGGTAATTTTAGGAATACTAAATCTGAGCATCCAGATTTCTTAGGGATATTTATGAGTAACTTCCATTAACTGCAGCAGCCAGAGACTAACCAGGGTAAGGTAGTTTTGCAGAGAGACGTGGACTCTCATCTCTTGAAGACAGGACTTGGACAATTTTTCAAAATGCACCCAAGACCTTCTTAAGGCACATCATCTGACAAAGCCTGTTTTCACTTGCTTTAAATTCAGTATTTTAGGTGTATTCCTAATGCATAAAGACAACATAGTAACTCACAGTTGTTATTTTTACTCAGCCTACATATAAGCTCTAGAACCAACTGTAAAACTATTTTTGTTGTGACAAGTACTTACAGTTGCAGGCAATCTGAAATGAAATTCTTACTGCTTCATTTGGACTACACTTGATTAAGGGTGGATAGCTGGTGTGCTATTACCTCTGATTACACTAACCAGTTCACGTTTCTACAGTTCTTAAGGCTGTATGCTTTAATGTGTACTGAAACTAAGTGCTGAGATGATTTTGATAATGTATTTTTATAGCATGTAACACGATAGACTCTTGTCTTCAGGTGCTGTCACCATACAAAGAATACCCAGATTTTGATTTCCATAAGCAACAAGAAAAAAAAATAAAGACAACTCGAAAACCTGAATTTATTTCTCAGACATCTGTCAGCTCCCTTGCAAATATCTGCTTCTGCATATAAGATCTTTGTTCAAGAGTGTGTATTTGTATATATAACAGGAACATCTTTTGATTACTGTTCATTACTCTTCAGGAGACCTGGGTTCACTCCCCAAAGACCTTGAGTACATATACTGTTTAGACAGCATAATTCCAGATAAAACCACAGGACACAGAAAGAGATAAAAGGATTAATTTTAACTAACACAGCAATAATCACATTTATATATTTTAAATTTTATATTGAGATATTTATATTCAGAATGGACATCATTGTGGTGGAAGTTGCCTAAGCAAAAGAATACAGTAATCCTGGCACCTAGAGTTCATAATCTAAAATTCAAATGTAGAAAAAATGGTTGAAAGGAGGAAGTATCTGGGGGATCAGAATGGAAGGGAAGTATCAAAGATAACATGCAGGTCACAGTCTAAGGATCACAGCTTGCCACCTGCCAAATCCTTGTCAAGTACACCTGAACTAACAGGCAGATTTTGAGGTAGAACTTGGAGAACATATGGTAGTTGCAGTTACTGATGACCAGCTTTTCTGGTCAGATGCACAGAACAAAGTGTTAAAAGTGCCCCTGGAAGAAGAGAAAATTGGGTGATTGAGGCTGGCAGCAGCAGCAGAATGAAGACAGAAATCAGCCTCCTAACAAAAGGATGAGTCTGATAAATTGGGTGGAGCTAACAAAGAAAACTCTGAAAGGACAAGACTTCCTATCACACTCCTAACTAGCACCCAGGCGCAGGCTGGACCTGCGGCACAGGACTGGATGCAGCACATTGAAGGTTCTGTGGCTCTAATATTTCCTATGTGATGCTGAAAAGAACAGGCAACTTTAAGGCCTTGTTTTCCCTATTGCATTCCGTGGAGAAAATAGTTAATTTTTTCTTTAATACCACAGTGAAAGCTAGTTTGTAGAGTTGTTTCTTGGATGGAGAAGCCTATATCAGTGTTTAGTAATTATTACCACATTAGACGAAGTACCTTTTGATCATCTAATTTCAGTTCAGTCACTTCTCAAGAGAGATGCTGCCTCTGTAATACCTCTATGGGACTCTGATCTGTATCATAAAAACAGACTTCACCTATTCAAGCATCAAGGGCAAGTAATAACATTTAACAGGATGACAAAAAAGTGTTTCACCACGATGCATTATGCTGTGCATAATTTTGCCTGGAAAGAGAAACCAATGGTAAGGCAGCATCAATGGAAGCTCACTCTATTTACAGGGAATAAACAGTGTTTCAATATTGCAGAAAATAAGAATCATCCACAGCTCCATGCCTTCTGCAGTTGCCACCTGGACAAAACCCAGCTCCCAGCCTTTCTCCCAGGTAGGTACGCAAACAATTGTTAGCAGACAGCACTAGCATATTCATGCCTGTAGATCATGCTCTGGGCTTGTGCAGTGTCTGTACAGTTGCTCAGGGACCCCTGAGCAGAAAAAAAAGCTGAAACAAATCACCTTTTTGTGGCTGGGTTAGTTTTCTATGCAACCAGTTTCCAAAACAGTTGATTGTGCAGTTGATTTATCACTTACACTGATAAATGCAAGGGGGCAGCAGTGGGAGGTGGGAACAGGGAGCTCAGCTTTGAACTGCAGACTAAGAACCCTGCTCACAGGCTTCTCCAGGCTGTGCTGCTGACATTTGGCTTACTCCAGTGCATTGCTTTTCTCACACCCACACCACTGTACTAGAATAGCAGCCAGAGGAATCCTCCCTTCATGTGTGTTTTAGCTTTGGGCAGTGATACACACCTGTGACCAGAATGGAAACTGCTATTTTTTTGGATTTTTGACTGCATAAAAGGAATGTTATTGTTTCTCTTACTTTTTTTCCACCTCCCCAAAGAATTGTTCTTATGACTAGTAATTTCAGAAAGTTTTGTTCAAAACTAAAACAGTACTTTTCTAGCTTGCCAAGTTCTGTGCCTTTTCACAGAACTCTGGCGGAAATGACACGTTAACAGGTTGAGCCATAAAACAGTGAAGTCTCCATTAGACTCCTCATGAGATACCGATAGAAGAAAGCATCTTGTGGCTGTAAATACACAGGAAAAAAATACCCTCAACACCTTGACTTATGACAGAAGTTGAGACCCCTATACATATGTAAACCTCCCACTTAGTCCTGCAGCTTAGTGAAATAATCACAAAACAGCTAGCTCCTCAAGAGCACCAGTGCTTCATTAACATTTGCAAAGCACCTGGAGTCCTAGGTGAAAGGCTCTTGTACAGCTACAAACAGGGAAGGAACTCTCTAGCCAAATAAAACTAGAAGAACTATGCACAGATTCAGTTTCCCATTACAAACCTTTCCTGCCATATTTAAAGGTGCTCCTCCCTAGAATGTGAGTCCAGTCAAGGGCTTGCTAGGGCTGACTTGGAATTCAGCTTAAGCTCCAGGGAGGACATTCAGAAAAGCTGGTTCAAACGTAGGCAGCAGTTTCTTTCTCCTTAACATAGGAAAAGCAAGCTGCAGAAGATTCCTGGTGCTGCTCCTTGCAGCTGATTGCTTGCTCGGATGTAAATGGAGGGGGGAAAACCACAGGAAAATTCCTGAAGGTGGCAGGAGGCATCAGGTCATCTCTGCATACAGAACTGATTGCTGGAGGGACCCTGCGTTTAGAATCTGAAAGCCACAGCTAAAGAGAAATCTTGGATTTTTCCACATTGTAAGAAAACTGAGAAGAAACTTTCTTAATTTTCTTTCTCCAGAGCTCCATTAACCCTTCTTTAGTTTTTAAACTATTGCCAGAAATGCCCACAAACCCCAACAAGCTTTCCTGGAGGAGAATTCCTGAATCCTTTGCAGAGGTGGCCTTGGTTCATAGGGACAAAAAAGTAACTACACAGATTACTAAAGCAAAAGGTCATCTCACTGCACTGCCACATAATCTGCACTTCACCTCTGAATAATTGAATCAGATATATTTTATCTGATGTTTTGTGTTGGTAACTGGCTCTAGGTGGCCTTGCTTGAGCAGGGGAGTTTGACAAGGTGACATCCAGAGGTCCCTTCCAACCTCAACCATTCTGGGATTCTGTGATTCTATACCAGTGTTTCATACAGTTCATATTTAAAAATCTTTGTATGTTATTGTAGTTACCTTTACAGCTAAGATTTTAATGAAGCTGGACAAGAATCCTGGAAAGTAGGGAGAAAAAATTAAATAATCAGAATAATTACAGTAAAACTGTACTCTAGGACTCTAACACTGTATCACGTGTACTCCATTTGCATTTTATAATGGGAAGAAATGAGGAAAAAATGCAGTTCCGTCTGGATGAGCAGTACATAACTTTTTCAAGGGCAAAGGACCGGTTCAAGGGCTATATATCACAGAAGCTCCCAATCTGGGCTTCAACTTTGAGGATTTCCTAAACAGTGTCAGGTTTCCCTATGAACCTTGAGTTGGACTGTGACCCAAAACTACTGAAGCAACTTTGAGAAAAGGTATTATCTAGACCCAGTGTTATCATTCAGGACTTTGCTAAAATCAGTCCTGTGCCCAAAATTCTCCAGCATTTTTCATTCTAAAATGGGTCAGTTTTTCTATAGTCTTCCAACACTGTTAAGCCTTCTGCCTCTTGTGTGTAATTTGGCCATTTAATACCACCCTGATCACAAATAAATCTGGGACACTTCTCAAGGTTTAATTTGAATAAATTTGTAATGCCTCTGTTACTCATTGGTAGCCAGTGAAAATTATGTGTAACTGGTTTGTTATCAGATCACAAGAGCAAGTTACATTTTCTGAAGCTATTACAGTCCCTGGATCGATTTTAAGAGGAGCAGACAGGAAAATAATAGTGTCACCCAGCAATCTAGATACGAATCAGCACAATCTTGTGAAATTACTTACATTTTTTTCTTGGTTCCTATTATTTTGAAGAAGTGTGATGACACAATTGTGGATGAAGAAGGCAAGTGTCAGAACCCCTGTGAGCTGAGGGAACAGAATTCTAAACTCTAAGGGAGGAAAAAAAGTGTTAGTAACTTCTTTGAAACAAACAGTGCCAAAATGCAGAAGACATACAATGCTGTGGAGTCTACTGGCAGAAGCATGAACCTCCATGTTGAAATGGGACAATCCATCTTATCTTTGACTGTAGCCAATGCAGGTATTTAATCAGGAAATACAAAATGCATGAAGAGGGTTACTATATAACACATTCTGCAGCAAAATTTCTTGAGAGACCCCAACTACCAAAGATTATTAGGTTAATCTAGGATTTACACATACAAGCTTTTCTGCTTCTCAACAGTTAAACTGGAAAACATTTTTGAGGCAGGAATTGATTGCCACGAGGCTGTATATCCATTGGTCCCTGAACAGGGAGATGGGGGGAAGGAATCATTTGCTCTGTGAGCTTTGTTTGTTGTTAAGTCACTTATGCTACCAGAGGAAAAATGACATCTGTAGATGTTTAAGAGCTTCTTCCAAACCAAGACATAAAGAAAGACAGAGCAACTTCCTGTCTTATCATACACCTTTACAGCATCTATGAAAAATTTATTTATGTTTTTGTCTCCATGGGAATAGCATTGCTCTGCTTCTTTTAATACTTGAAGGATTATGTTCACAAGATTGTATTTTGGGAAGCGCTGTGACTGGTCTAGGAATTCATCGATGTGTAACATCATTAAAGCACCATCTTTGTTTGTATTATATAAGGATGTATGTATTCTTTAGAGTGCTAACAGCAATTAGAGAACCCTGACCTAGCTCATCTTCTGGAAAGCATCCAGCAATATAGCAAAACACTCATCAGATCAAACCACAGAGAGCTGCACGCAGACATGTTTAAACCATATTTCTCTGAAGTGCTGTGAAGTCAGCGGGGTAAACATACCCCAGTCAATTAATGAAGGGCTCATCAAGGTTGAGAGAATATGCCTTCCCTAGGGCTGGATTCTCTGTATCTTCAGTACCTAACTAGCATGATGCACTACTCAAGTCTACAGCTTGAGAGTGCAAGCAACTTTTGGGCTTGTTTTCCATCCACTACTTTAATCTCACTAATAAAAATCAAACTGACAGATTCAGAATCTCTTTCAGCACTGCATTTCTCTTATCACTACAATCAGTAGTAGCTGGATTTATACGCATTAGCTCCATGCTTTGTCTATCTCATAGCAGTACTAGCTGCATTGCCAAAATAATCGAACTACTGGATGCTCCACTTCTTAGTGACCTGCAGCACACATCTCGTACTATAACTCATTTTACACTAGGACTGTTTAATAGATCTTGGACTTGAAGTTCAAGATGATTAAAACCCAATTTCTTAGACTTAGGCTGGTTTCCAGTTTACATGGGTTTGTTGATCAACCATAGTTTGGGTGAATTTTCTTCTGCACCCTCAGGAAGAGTCTGTACATATGAGGCCATTGTGAGCATTTGAAGATTGCCTGCTGGGGCAGTTCAGCTTAAAACCATGTTTTCATGCACACAATGGAGCAAGACCAAACGTTGTGGTCTATCTACTGACTGAGCAGTGCATGCTTGAGTATCATTTCTACTTACAGATAGCATTAAGTATAATGCCATAAAATAGGTCATATCCTGGTTTCGGCTGGGACAAAGTTCATTTTCTTCCTAGTAGCTGGTATAGCGCTATGTTTTGGATTTAGTATGAAAATAATGTTGATAACACAGTAATGTTTAGTTGTTGCTAAGCAGTGTTTACAATTAAGTGAAGGGCTTCTCAGCATCCCAGGCCCTGCCAGCGAGGAGACATGAGCCTTCCGCAGGAGAGGTGCAAGAGTCTGGGAGGGGGCACAGCCAGGACAGCTGACCCAAACTGGCCAAAGGGATATTCCATTCCATATGACATTATGCTCAGTATAGAAGCTGGGGGGAGTTGGCCAGGGAGTGCCATGGCCCAGGTGAGCAATTGTGCTGTGCATCACTTGTTTTGTATATTCTTTTTTTATATTTTTATATTATTATTATTTTCCTTTTCTGTCCTATAATCTGTTTTTCTCTCAACCGATGAATTTTACTATTTTTTCTGATTCTCTCCCCCATCCCACAGGGCAGGGGAGGGAAGTGAGTGAACTGCTGTGTGGTTGTTTTAGCTGCTAGCCAGATTAAATCACAGCAGGTCATTAATGCAGATGCTAATCATCCAATGCTTTCAAATCCGAATTTTTACACTGGACACAAAAGTAGTTTGTTAGTCCAAAAATTCTGCCTAAAAGTAAATGCAGTGATGGAGGAAAAGAGACAGCATAGATAGCACCGTTTCAGAACTACCTATATCCATCTATAAGTTTGTACTTATGCTGCAGTAGTCAAGAGGATTTTTAGGGAATTACGATGATAATCCAGCTTGTCCTCAAAGCATGTGCTTTGGTCTTGCACAGTCTCACACTCAGCAAAAATCGCCTGGCTAGACTCAGCCAGAAAGGATAATACTTTTTTTTTTTCTTGGTGACATGGCCAAGGTGAAGAAACCGTTTTACACAGCCTTTCACTTGTTTCTTGTCATTCAGATCTTGAAATAGGGTTCTGAATGCCTGGCTGAGATGAGGAAGGAATGACTTCAGCAGTTATGGAAAAATGAACAAACAGATGTGATGATAGCTAGGGGCTGGTAGGCAGAGAACGGGAATACTGGGTTTTCAGCAGACCTCTTTGCCAAACGTACATGGAATACACTAGCTAAGATGTTTATTCTGCTTATTATTGTGCCAGATAATTTCAGTTCAACTAGAGCTGAATAAACCCAAAGGGAGTGGTAGAAGAACACAAAGAATAAGTAGCTGCAAGACCACCACAACTGTGATGTGAACACACTTAAATCAGCAGAATTTCCCATCAGTAACTTTACTCAAGTAACTACTACCTGTAGTTTACTCATTGAGTTGTTACTCTTGTTGCCACAATGTGTTACCACAATTCCACAAATTGGACCGGATTCTATCAGAAACATGGAACAACTCTGGTATTTCTTTTTTTTTATTATTTCTATCTTCCTACAGTAATTCAAAACCCATCCCAATGTTTTAAGTTATCCTTGTTTTGCTCTCCAGTTCTACATTATTGGACCTAACAACAGTTTGCAACCCATGTGTAAAACTACTAGTACAGTGCTTATTGTGACCAGGAAACTAAAAATGCATAAACCCACAAAAGAAACCCTAAGGAGGTGCATATCTCTGAATTTTGCCTTAAGCGAATGAGTAACTTCTAAAGAAGGACAAAATACTCTTGTTTCTGAGAACAGGAGTAGTGATAAAATTCAATAGCACAGGACATAGCTCCTTGGAGCTAAGTGGTCATACAACTTTGCCTGTTGTAAAGGATGAGGAAAAAAACAGCTAAGACCTAACCCCAGATCTCTCATTCCAAGTCTCCTAAAACAAGAAACCGATCTCTTTAGACTATCTGTTCATGCAGAAAAATTTTCCTGTTCAGAACAGGAAAATCACACTTGTAAATTATGGTGAATGAGCTATTTCATTTAAGCAAGACAGTGTGTGGAGAATTTACAGCCCCCTTTACCATTCAGTCTGTCTACAGTTTGTCATTTGTAACTGCTACTGAAATAGGCATATTCTGAAAATGGTGCAGCTAGAACTCCTTATAATATAGGTGAAGCAGGACTATAACAAGCTCCCTGTCACATGATATATGTTGGCGATACCTCTGATGGGCACTCCTTCACAGTGTTGATACTGTCTTCTAATTAAGGATCATCACTGGAAAAAGCATTCCTTGTCACTTTGTCACAAGGGATCCTTCCTGAGCCTCTACATGAAACCTCAGACAGCATTTCCTCACACAGATGTTACAAGGTAAATGAGAAAGTCATTCATGAATTGCTTTAAAAAAAAATCTTAAACCTATCATATATAAGCTTCATTACTGCATTTTAACTATCTTACCTGGTACAAAAAAATCATTCTCTGTAAACCAGTTGTATTCTAAGTGGATTCCCAAATGAGCAGCCTTTACGGTAACCAGAAAAACTAAGTAGACAACTGAAACCGTACCTAGAAAAAACAAGAGCCAAACAAACACCATGAGGCAGTAGAAGTATTTGTGCTGTGTTTTATTCTTGCTCCATCCAACTAGTTACGAGTAGCCCAAACACTTAGGGTTGGTATTCATTCTTAGGAGTACAGGCTAGGTCTAAATTTTCTTTTTATTTCTTTCATAGGTCAGAGAGAAGGAATAACACACCTGTACCCAATGCAAGCTTTCAGTATATTTAATATTCTCCAGATGCTGCACTAGTGACAGTGGAAGAAGCACCCTGCAACCCTGGTGCTCAGCAGGTGGGGAGGTCTCAAGGCAGTAACAGAGGGGTTCCAACTCAAGCTGTCAGGATTTTAATCTAGCATGAGACAAAGTCGGCCACAGTACTGCAGCTATTACAATGTCCATTCAGTCACTGACCTTTTGAACCACATGGCCCAATAAGATATGCATGTTTATTGCAGTTGTGAACTTTAAACTAGGAGCTAGAAGCTGATAATGACATTTGATCGCTAGTGATTTAAACCTTGTCTTGATCATAACCTTGATCATAATACTGGATTTACATTCCATCTCATTGGTTCAGAGGCATCCAGCTATATTCTGTAGAGCTAGAGGACTACGGATAAGATCACAGATGGGTATAAATGCCTTGCTGTGTCTGCACGTGGGATGGAGAGCATATGATCTTGGCTCCTGACACTTGAAAGAGATAAGGGCAGAATAATAACTATCTAAGAAAATTGTGCAACAGTAATTAAGGCTACTGCAATGCAACCTCCTGGCCAATAATACTGCTAGTCACCAGAGAATAGACTATAAGACAAAGAAACAGCATTTTTACAGTTTAGAATACAGATTCAGATAAGACATCATTTCATTCTAGCAATATCTCCAAGGTTAAAAAAATAAATTGAAGAAATTATCATTTCATTACCCAGAGCATAGTCGAGGAATTAGAAAGATGAAAGGCTCTGTACTTGAGGATCAGCTTAACAACTAAAATATTCTGTAGTTTCCCAATGATTTAGGTTTCTGTACGTGTAAAGATAATTAAAAGCACTCGATTCATTTCAGCATCACAACATCTACCATTTTTTTTGTCCTATTGACTTCAAGGTTTACAAAAATTAAGGCAACTTTGAACAGCTTCTGAATTACATAATAATCTACTGCAGTTACAAGAAATTTAATATTTTAATATTCAGGTTCTCAAAAAAATAGTTGCCACAATAATGTGCTTATTTTAAAAACAAATACAGTTCTGACTAAATCTCACTTGATAAAATATTTTCTTATCCCTAATGTTATATCTAGTCTATGTAAAAACCTTACTTTTCACACAGAAGCACTATCACTTAACCAAGTTCCTGTGTTGTATTTTCATTTAGTGGTTCCAGCAACAGCAGATCCAAGCTCTAATTAAGTGTCACACTGGAACAGAGGACAAACTAGCCCCTCAATTCTGTGTCCTCTACCTCCTTTATAATACATCTCCATCTTTTTCAATTGGTTCTGTGATCCCTACCTCCTTTTCACTTTCTCTTCATCATGGGCTTCAACGCTGTGCCCTCAGACCTCTCCTACTCCATAAGGACCAACCCCACGCATCATCCATGTGCTTTATCCACTTTACCAGTCCCACCTGCCTTGGTCTTCTATCTCAAGACATGGAAGCAAGGAGAAGTCACAATTTTTGTCCTTGTAGTACAGAATAGGCCAGGGTATTGGGAGCTGGGGCAAAGCACAGCAGCAGGTTACACTGATTGACTGATGTCGTCATTAACTAATCAACTGATTGGTAGCAAACAACTTCAGGTCAGAAGCAATCAATCTTTGGAAGTAACTCCCTGTGTTGAAATGTTTACCAGATGAGGAAGGGTAAGCTTGACTGTACCAAGGCAGTATACGTATATCAAGGGAGCAAAGGAAAAAAATTAACTCCCTATTAACTGTAAGACGTAAGCAAAGCAGGGCAGAAAGCCTGTGAGTGATTAACAAGGCACTGGTGAGGCTGCATCTCAAGTCCTGTGTTCAGTGTTGGGCCCCTCACTACAAGAAAGACATTGGGGTGCTGGAGCGTGTCCAGAGAAGGGCAACGAAGCTGGTGAAGGGTCTAGAGAACAAGTCTTATGAGGAGTAACTGAGGGAACTGGGGTTGTTTAGCCTGGAGAAAAGGAGGCTGAGGGGAGACCTTATTGCTCTCTACAACTATTTAAAAGGTATTTAAAAGACATGTAGATGTGATGCTTAGGGACATGGTTTAGTGGCGGACTTGGCAGTGCTAGGTTAATGGTTGGACTTGATGATCTTAAAGGGCTTTTCCAACCTAAATGATTCTATGATTTTACTCACTGGAGTAGCTTTCATTGTTTTCTACACATTTTAGCTACAGTGAATCAATGCTTTACTAGTATTTGTTACCTACCTAGGACATTGAAGTTTGCAAAGAAGGATGGAGACTTCAGGTTTAGCAGGGGTAGAAGAACAGCAATCAAGTAAAATGGTACTGTTTGTGATTTGTTCCACCACTCCTCGAAGAGTTCAAAACCTGTATTGTTGCCAGAAGAGAACATCACACTCCTGTTCTGTGGTGGGTGACTGCTAGCAGCACCTGGACAAATGACTGGAAGAAAGGAAAAGAAAAATATCCCCAGATGAAAAGGGGTTTAGTTGCACAGAACTTCACAGCCAAGATTCCATAATTTCTGGAGAGTGTTCTACTTATGGTTAATAGGACCACTCAAAAGCAATGTTGGACAACGCTGTTCCTAACTTCTATTTGTTTTTTTATCACAAGTTCAGCACTAAGATTCCACTGCTAGGCACCTTGCACTCTAAGCTGATGTGCGCTATGGTTCTTTCAGCTGAGCACAACAAAGATGCTACTTTGTCTGAAGCCTGAGCTGTGGCATAGGATGAGCCTTCCAGGTCACACACCTATAATGAGGTGTGTTCAGTGCCTACATGCATCTCCTGGAATCAAGTCATAGCAACACACCTCTGCATCTGGCTGCATATTTAGCATTGTAATATGTCCCTGCACACTTCAGTAAGATCATGTGAACCAAGATGCAAGTGCATCTGTGTACAGAAGAGCCTGTATTACAGTACGTTGCTCTGGGAACACACAAACTAAAGATGACAAGAAAGCTACTATAACAATTGGCAGGTCTAAAACTCATGCACCGAACCAAAGTACTCTGTCACCTTGGTGCCATGCCAGATGCAAGTACATCACTGGTAGACAACGCAACAGAAGCAATTTAAGATATGCACCCATAACGCTGCCAAAAGGGAACATCACACTCCTGGTATGTGATGGCTGATCAATGCCAGCACCTGAACAAGTGACTGGAACAAAACCAACCAAAGGGATCCCTTGACAAACATATGTTTATTTGATATTTGTTAATATCAGCATTTCTTTCTAACACATGCCTATAAAGTTATGTGTTGAAATATGAACCTGTCCTATTGTTCTCATTAGGTCTTATTTTAAATTTTGGCATCCCACAACACTTGATAGCCTCCCTCCCACACTGGCTGCATGCCAGTCCTGTTACAAAGGCAAAGGTGTAAAAAGTGTTCTGGCATATTTCTTGAGAGACCATTACGTTATGTTACTTCCAGTTTTCTTGTTTGCTTTCTCTCTGTTACTTAGAAGAGGATTGTTTCACAGACCTTGAAAAATGCTTTCTTCCTGATCTCCTTGGTAGCTCTGAATGCCCTGCCAAGAGTCATCTGAGCATCTGGCAGCCCTTCATTTTGTGAAGCAGCTGCTTTAAATCTTCCAGTTGCTGGAAGATACTGTGAAATATTGTTGTCTACAAGTTATACCCACTGCTGCGTAAGAATGGGACAAAACAGCAGAAGCAGGAGAAAGTAGAAGAGAAAGATCACTGCAGCAGCTATTGGTGCCTTGCTGGTAAGGACTGTAGGATAAACAGGATTCAACACTAGTTCAAATGCAAATCAACTGGGTTTCAGAATTATTTCTCAACTCCTTTGCCTGACTCCAAACAGCTGCTCTCCAGAAACACAGCTGCAGCTAGTGTGACACACAGCTGTCCAGCTGGTACTGAAAAGTTTCCCCATTCCCATAAGCACTCATGATAGAGAAAATGTTCTGCCTCATAACAAAGAACTACGTGTTCAGTTACTATATATACAGGCAAGAAGATCAGAGGCTGACAATGCCTAGCTCCTGCCTTCATTCTACATTATTCTGTCTATTTAAGAACTCCCAACAGACCTATCTTCACACTTGACTCCAGTTTCTTCCCTTAGTTATGCAAATGTCAGACTCTCCACGAAGTGTACGCGGATGTTCCTGTAGCCTGATACTTGGGGTTTTTTTGTGGTCAGAATTGTTAAAGCTGTTCTTACAGCACTTTTTAAAATAAAAATGTTGCTCTAGAGGTGGGGAGGAGCACCGATGCCCCAGTCAAAGACTTTAAACAGTAAACAGATCTGATGTGCCTCAATTTTAGGGTGCGAAAGTTAAAATTCCTTAAGGCAATTCCTCATTGTGCAACTACTGTTAAGAGGTCTAACATTCATAGTTTTAAGGAGGATCTATCTGGGTATACACAAACTTGCAATTTGCCTTTTTAATCCATATACTCACTCTCACTTTTCTTTCTTTCTTTTCAACTATTAAGCTTTCCAAGTGTATGGTTATTTGTAGAAGTACAAATCTCACATAGAAAATTACAGGTTTTTTTAAAAACAGGTAGTTAGAACTTACAATATACACCTTTATAACTGCAATGTGGTTACTTTGCCTTTGAACACCCCCCCCCCCCAGGAAACAGAATACTAGTAAGTGCTTCTTACCTTTGTTACTTCCATTTGTTCCAGGAACAATATCTGTTACATTAATGTCATGAACAAAGTCTGAAAAGAAGAAAATCCTACTATCAATGTCCCAAACCTGCTATTGGGCTTTTATCTGTTGACTTGATAAAAATTAAGTAAGGAAATATTTTTGAAAATTACATCAAAGGCGCAATACAGCAGCTTGCACTCTCCCAACCCCAAGCAGGTACTTTAAAACTTTCTTTTAGAAGTGCTTAAAGTAGCCCCCCACTGCACTAATTTCTTCTCAGCAGCCCTGTCCATTTATGAAGTTCCCAAGCCTCTCCTCCCAACTGATCATTCCTGTTTCCCGAGCACACCTCCGCTTGTGCCAGCTCCTCTGTCTGCAGTGTTATACAGTAGGTTAGTGAGGAGCTGCATCTTAAAACCAGTCTCTTTTGGGACAGAAAAAAAGTGCACACAACCATTCCCTTAGACCAGATGGTATTATACGGAAAAAGCTTCCCCTAGTCATTTTTCAGAAGAGGCTCTGTGGGATGCTTTTTCCATGTTGTATTTTAAAGAAGGGAATGTCTGGAAAAAGGTTTAAGTCTCACTGTCTACAGTCATCTCTAGTAGCATTTTGTTTCCAGTACGCTCATGTGCTACTTTACTGCTCTACCATACCAGATATTTTTGAGTTTCTGCAGCTTCACCAGTATGAGCGTCTTGGATAGCAGTTTCCTTATATTTATGTATATACGCACACAGAAAGTGCCCATCAGATTAGCATGTCTCTGGTAAAAATTTGCTTCTGATGCATGTGGGACTATTATGCACACATAAAACCAACTGGGGCAGTAGGCCTCAAATCTTTTAAATGCAATTAACAGCAGCTTGTTTTTCACAAAGACAGCAAAAAGTCTTGTGGGAAGAAAACTATTTTTTGTTTCTTCATTTTGATTTATGACACCCTGAATCACAATTGAGTTTCTCATACTTACCGATATCAGTTCAGTGGACAAAAGAAGATTTAATTAAAATCATTCATCACCTCCTCACTTCACCACTGCTTTGTGCTGCTACTTAAAAAAGTACCTAGTGTAAAGCCACCAAAAGAATTGATAGCTCTTACAGAATTAGAGTATTTTAAAATTAGTTATAGACAGATAGCCAAGTTATGTTTCCTCTGTTTTTAAAAAGTGGTTTAGGACTAGCAATTGCATTTGTGGATTTATTTCTCTTTCATAAAACAAAAACAGAACAAAAGCATGGGACACTGTTTTAAACAAACAAACAAACAAAGACACCACACGATATCATACTTAGTTGTACGCAAAGAATGCAAGAACTGTACGCCAGTTTCTAGACCATCTTCCCTTAGGAAATCAGTTTGTTCCCACCTAAATTGTACATGCAGTTTTTTAAAAAAGCCACCTCAATGTACTAGAATTAAATACAGTAGCCTGCTTAGAATAACTTAGAAATGCATGGCTGGAAGATGCCCTTGTGTCAAACCTACATCCTATTACCCATTTTATAGCCTAGTAATTAAGTAGCCACAATGAAAGTTAGGACAAGAATCCAATGATTAAAGTTATCACAGAGCAAATCACGAAACCAAACAAATATAGGTTAGTGATAAAATAACGTGCCAATCTCAGAGAAAAGCAGGACTTTTTTTTCCTAGAAAGGGAACTGTTTTGATCATTCTAAAGTTTGCTTACTAGAATTGGAGTTATTTGGTTTAGAATAATTTAGGATTAAAAGGCTAACCGTATTAAAAAAAAACCACCCCAAAGTCTAAAATGAAATGGCCTTAACAACGTATGAATTAGATCAGCTGTAAAATACATCAGTCTTTAGCAATAAAGTATGTCTGTTTTTCAGGAATGGTGGAAACTCTAATTAAACATTGTTTAAGAGGTATAAGTGTCTGTGCTGTTATTTGCCTCAGAGATTTGTAAATTACCTTCAAAACAGAAACTCCTAAATCAGCGCTATGAGTCAGATATTCAAAGCTCTCAATTCCATCATTTATTCCCACAACTCTACATACCTAATTGATTGTATCCACAAAAGCCTACGTGTTTGTGCACGTACAAGGGTGTAAATAACCCTATGGTTTCTTTTGTAGCAATGTAGTCTAAGAATCATTCTTTCACTATGCTACAGTTCATCATTCCTTCAGGGACACTTGCAAAAACTTTCTATATGGCAGAACTCTAAGTATGTTTGCTGAAATCTAGAATGAAATTAGGTGGGTTTTTTTCATTACCTTGGATCATTTCAACAGCCTAGCCTGTTATACGGCTATTCAAATAGTTACACCCACGCAAACAAGGGGGGGAGTGAAAATACAAAGTGGAAACAAGCAGCCAGGTTTGGGTTGTTTAGATTACACCTAGAAGCCTCATTATTGACATGCAAATCAGATAATTGGTACTTTGTCTTTCATTAAAACCACACTTTGAAAGACTGAGAAACTGGCTTTGAAAATATACATGAATATGCCCATAACTCCATGCATAGTTAATTACTCTCACTTGACTTTTCACACAAAGTAACAGAAAAATCAAGATTAAGTAAAATGGGCAATCTTTTTTCAGTATAAAGCAAAGTTTTGATCTTTCTACAAGACAGCTGTAAAAGTTAACCAAAAATGTATACTTACTGTATATAAACTTTCCAGTGTTGAACAGAAAGTTGGACATAAGCACCCAATAAACAACCATGGCTCCAACAAGCGATACCATAGAAAATAAGAGGCTTGACCACTGACCAAAGGATCCAAAGTAATACTTGCAAACATCCGGGAATTCCCAGTTTGAGGTATCTATTAAAGCTGAAGAAGATACAAAACCCAGAAACATATCTAAACAAAATGTTTTATTAGAATCAGTAGAACTCTTCCTGACAGGATGTGTTCTTGTTTCAGAATATTCTGACACAAGTTCACAGTGCTTCCAAGGGCTAAGAAGATTGCTGTTAACTCGAAAGTATAACACTCATTAAGTGACTGAAGGAGCCTGAAGAAGTAGATTTTATTGTGGCCATACTACTACTTTGAGTACTTCCAGAAGCACTAGAATAAGACACGGTGGCAAAAATGGAGCCATGCATTTGCAGCTAAAGCCTTTTGTAGGACTTACAGCAAAGTAGGCCAGACCATGAACTAGTCCTCAACAATGGTCTGAAATGAGTTGTCACAAACTGGAGGTCTTCACTGCTTTTATTTGAGGAAGTGAGGGGTTAGTCTGTGCATAAAAGCACCAACTACAAGAGCTGCAAGATCAGTTTTGAACATTAAAATACTAAGTAGAACCACTGTCAGTGAGGCAATTGTGCAGAAATTGCTTTTAACACAGAATATATGCAAATATTAGAGAAGTACTGACATACAACACAAATGGATGCAGCTACAGCCCACATTGTTCCACTGCAGAACATGATCTGAAATACATGTAGAGAACTGGACAGTGCTTATGGAGAAGAAGGGAAGCCTCTAACTCTGTAAGTTCCCAAATGCTTAGTAAGCAAATATCTGAAACCTTGCTTGGTAAGAATCTGGGTTTGGCTATAATACTTAGGTCCCACAGAACTGAAGGATAATCTAATAAGGGAAGACTGACATTTAGCTTACAGAGCTTAGAACCAGACTACAAAAGTAGAAAGACATTCAAAGAAACAGCTTTTATTTGCAGGTCAGGTCTAACATATACCAAAGATACAGACAAACTAAGAATCTATTAGATCTCTGTATTTCATGCTTAACAAAAATATTTGCCTTATTAAGCTTTGTATTTCTTACGTATCATTTTCCGTGATTTCACAACTCTGTAGCAGCAGTAAAGAGTCAAAATGCCCATCAGTAAGATGAGAATGATTCCAGAAGTAAAGCCTGCCTATTAAAAGTGAGAAATACAGTTTAGTTTCTTTATCAATAACACTACAGAAAAATGAAGAGCAAGCCATGTTTCTGAAAACATTTCCATACGCATACATTTTTCATCATTTTACCTGTTTTATCCCCCAGGGGATACTTAATATAGATGTACCCATCATTGTATTCCATATCATAAATCTAGGAAGAAAGGAAAAAAGCCAGTGAATAATTTAAGAAGCAGTCTTCCTTCATACTATCCTCTTAGCTACAGTAGTTATGCATAAAATATAGAACACTCAGTGATAATGCATTTTCTGGCTAATATGTGGGAAGGTGCTTAACATACATTGTCACTATACTGGAGTTTTTACCATAGCCATCTGTGCAACTGTCAACTTTAAAAGCAGTTCCTAATGGACTGTACACGTAGATTTCATCGGGAGCTGGAAGTACATGATCAGGAGCAATCTAATAAATGGATGAAAAACAAGACTTATTAGTAACACTAAAGTAACTATTGTCCCAAATACAGCAAGCCAACTTTTCTAAATCACAAAATCTTTCTATGAAAAAGCATTTAGAAAAAAAAAAAAGTTAGACTACATCAATTTTCTCCCCATGAGAAAAAACAGTTGATGGGATTTTTAGCTAGATCGCAGAAAAATAGACTTTTCTTCTGCAAAATGCCTGTAACACACTATGCACAGATCATGCTAGTTCAATCATTGCAGCTGATCACTGCTTAAATCCTCTTATAGATGGGAGAAATGAGTACACACATCTGGACAGCCTGGACCACTGTTAGAAAATGCAAGCTGTTTGATTTCTTTGGATGGTGAAGGCATTGCACAAGAAGTCAATCACAGCTTCTGATAACATGTGACCTTGTTAAGGCACTCAGCTACTAGCTATTTATTTACTTCAAAGCAAGCTGCAGACCGATTCTCCCCCTACCTTTATTTGTGCTTCTTTTACAAACCTAGGCTGTGGAAGACCCAACAGAGCCCACTCTGTTAATTTGGCCCTGTCTTTGCCTTACCAATGCCCTGTCTGCAGGAGATGTGAGCCTGCTATAATAATGAATCCGCTTATTCATTGCTGAAGCTTCGTCAGTGACTCTTTGCATGTCATCGTTCACACTGACTATATTTGTAGGCTCCACATGAAACGGTCTAAAGGAGGGGAAAAAAAAAGAAAAAGAAAACCCTTAAAACTCTAGAACACAAGAACTAACATAAAACTCAGAGAACAGTTCGGCATCACTCAGGATGAGTCTGTCATTCACTGACACAAAGCACATGCAAAAATATCACTGCCATGAGGGAAGCTGCCATCCATGAAAGAACCATGTGTTCATATCATCCATGTTAAAATGGCCTTTTGCCCAAATTCTGCAGGGCAACCTAACATCAAAATTCAGACCTAATATCCAGTCTATTAGTTCTCAACAATGAGTCACGCCAGAACTACATGTTAATAAGCCTGGCCAAGCTTATTAGTGCTTATAATCGGTGTTGCTAGAACTAGTGATGAGGAACAGAGGTAGAAACAGAAAGCATGAGAATGCAGAAGCAGAAAGACGACAGAGAAAAGAAGAATGAGCAGTGGTAATGAAGACCACCTATGAAAAGGCTAGGAATTACTAATCTAGCCAAAAACACCGTATGAAACTGTGTTTAATGGGGAATGAACCAAGCCCAAGTAAGTCCATGTGCTCACACTATTTTTAAGCCAATGCAACCGGGAATGGAATTTGTCACAGAACATGGAACAACAGATGTCCATTTGCAGTTCTGAATTACTTCACAACTTCCCTTCAGATTTCATTAAGGTAATTGCAGAGAAGAGGACTGTCAGCAACAGACAGAGATGTACAGAATACAGGTGTTCTCTTTTCCCTCTTCCTCATGTGAGTTAGACTGCAGGCATGATGACAGTCACTAAAGGAGAAAGCAACCACACCACACACACCTTGGTTTCTCTGCACACATGCAGGTACAGAGCAATGAGAGCAAAAGCTGCTCCTAAAGTTGCAACACAACATAAATCTAGCTTCATGCAAGGGGTGCTACCAGAGACATGCAAACTAATCAAGATATGGCAGAGATTTTTTTATCATGAAGTATAATTTACTTCCATATAGGCATACTATACTATTGCCTAAATGTGACATTCACTTCTAGCACTGACAGGGTAATTTCTCAAGCAAGACAGGGGATACTGGTGACCTGTAAGCCTTGATGCAAGATTTTGGCTTTTCTTCCCTTTCACCGGTGCTTTTAATTCCTAAAGCAATCTCAACAGCTTTCTGATCATCATCTTCCAGGTTGATGTTTAAATTACTCAGACACATGAACCACCCCAAACCCAGAACCCACAAAAGTACGTATCACAACAAGTCTGAGGCTACCAAGAGCAGAAACTAGGTCAGCTATAAATCCATGACATTTTTCCTGTAATATGAGCAAAGCCCATTTGAATTGACTGTTTTTCAACACCCAGTTCTGGTTCAGACTACAAAGGAAATTGGTCAACCTCTCCTGCCCCAGCTCTCAACACAGTGACAAAGATCCCATTCTCTTTCCCAGTGAATCATTAAGCATTTGCACCATGGCACTACCTTTTACCTGGAAGGAAGAAAAGGAATACAGCTCTGAAGCTGGTTCTTGTATCTTTGGAAGAGATGAAGGTAGGTCCTTATTCCTGTGTGCTTAAGGGGACACAGCAGGTAAGAGTATTTATGGGACTAATAAAAGCTGGCTGACGAAAGTGGAAAACAAAGAAAAATAACTTCCTTCTCCACTAATTAATTCTTTCCTTCATCTTAGATTTCATTAATTCTTACATCTTCCTTCATCACGGAAAAAATGGCTTAGATTTGCTAAGCCACTTCCCACTTACTGAAATGAAAGTGAACATGCTTTCAATTTTTAAAACATTCTCAATTGACTCTTTTTTTTCCATGTCTATGACATGAAGGGGGAAATCCCCGTTTTGTGTGTGAACTTCTGTGGTGTTCTTATAAACAATTAAGAGAGATACTGCAATTAAACAGGAATAAATTTTAAGCAATAGCTCTATTACTCAAGTCAGAGGCACACAGGGCTAACTAATTCCGTAGGTACTTAACGTACAAAAATACTCATGGACTGTCAGCTCTAAAGGACTTCACTTGTTTTAGCTTAAAATTTATTAGGCTGATCCAATCATTGGACACTGCTTAAAAATATTTCATTAGAAGACCTGTAAAATAAAGACTGTAGTTATGAAAACAGGAAATTTAATATGTTTAAATGCCTCCCCACTCCCAGTCAGCTCTCTGCTGTTTTCTTTTTGGATCACTTTATATTCACAACATTAAAAGTATGTGTTTTGCTAATTGTATGGCAGCTGCATAGTGTGAAGAGCTTCATGAGGACTACCTCTTTCCCCATCTCCAGTTAATAACACTAGTACATCCCCACAATCTTCCATTGCTACTGTGGAAAAATTACACTGAGACAAAGTCTACATTTTGTTTCAAAGCAAGCAGATCTGTGGCAAAGATTTCCTTCAAAATGGTGTTCAACAACTGCTGACACAGATGTCAAAGAAAATTCTTTCAGACTGGAAGACAGTGGGAGGTAAATTTTTAAAGCAATTCAAGTTAAAGTCATGGATTATTTTAAAATTAAAACAGAAAACATGACTATAACATCCTATTTTATGGGGAAAGCAGTGTTATTAGTTAACAACCAAACAAATATCAAGAAAAAATTTCACATGTAGCAAAAACATATCTGTCTAAAGGTAAGAAATTCTTTAGAGAAAGATAGTTAATTTTCTTCAGTATTAGGAACAGAGTCTGGATTGAAGAAGGAATTTATGGTTCAACGCAAAACAGAATGGTACGATCCAGAATCTAATCTATGGGTGAGGGAAAAAAAAATTAAACAACCCCAAAGAAATTCTATTTATCTGTTGCTGCTGCTTCCTGCCTGGAGGAGTGCACATGTCTAATGCTGCCAGTACTTGGGCTACTTCCCCTCTTGATCTCTTCTGGTGTGCATCTGATGAGAATGAAAATGATCTGAAGAAGCAATTAATTTTCTTTTTTCTCTGTGTACCACTGCACCTCTAGTCTTACTGAGCAAGTTTTATGGTTGTTAGAGACCTCCTTGAAAACATCAATCTGACTTGGAAGCTATGCAGGCAGGCTGGGATGCAACCTTCCTCCCTGATCTCCACTAGGAGAAGGCAGCACTCTGTCTAGGATCAAGGCCATCTCCCAGCCCCCAGCTACTCCTAGATCAAAGACTGGTTGTGGGGCACACTCAGACAGAAGTCTGAGAAGCTCTCAAGAGAGTCAAAGAAGTTCTCAAAGACTGAGATTTTCAAAGCCCGAAGTAGGCAGGATATAATCTGGGATGTATTTTGGAAAACCCTCTTTAGGGACCTTAAGTCTAGCAGACAAGCACTCTGTACATGCAAGCATCAGCAGCTGCAACAGATTCCTAGAAAACTTTCTGATTTATACAGGCAATCACATCATATCTCTCACGTGGCAAAATGGAGGTGGGACAATGTGATCTGGGGGAAGCAGAGAGGTTACATGACTGGAGGGTGGACTATTAATGCAAACCAGTGCAGAAAATTTCCACGTATTGAGATAGACTACAGTGTTCAATGAATTTACTATATCCATACTAAAAAACACATTTACAATTTATATTTCAACAGCTAGCCTGAAAAACAATGCTCTTTTTACCAGGGTAAACACACCAGTAAAACACAGCTGTTTTCCACAGCACGAGTATAGACAAGATGCAGGATTTCATGCAGGAGGTCCACACCTCCCATACACTACACCCTGCACATGTACTTCAGAAACCAGTCCCAGAAAAACTGCAGCCACACCCATCTGCTAGTTATATCTCACACAAAGGGAGAGTTAATAATTCTAGTGCTGGTCCAGGAAAAGAGAGAAGAGAGCTTCTGTTGAAACTTCCTCACATTATGAACTTTGGTAGCAATTTTTGCAAGCAAAGAAAACGAAGAGAGATGCTCACGATTAAAGTTGTTTCCACATATTGTGCTAGGCAAAGTTCAAGTGTTGGATTTGGAGGGTTAGGGGGGGACAGTACAATAGGAAAATTTGTTCGGTAAACTACATACTGGCAACTGGGTGCTACACCTTTTTCCTGGATATTTTCAGCAATGCATTGCATCTTGCAGAGCAATGAAGCAGCATGACAAATACCTATCACAAGAAGTTTTAAACTAAATAATAGTGTTTTCCAAGTACCTTTGCTGACGTGTTTTTAAACAGCAAACAACTGGTTCTGGACATCTGATCAAAAGTAGTGTTCCGAGTATTGAGCTGTTACTATATAATACAATTTTTTGTGTCAGTGTGTCTTTTGGCTCTACATGATGGTATTAATGACTTCACATTAGACGAACTTTTCATATTTAAATAAATACAAAAAAACCCCCTTCTTTACAGGATGCTTAACAATTTCTTTCCTCACCTCCAAAAAGACTATGAGGTCTCCTGCTTATTGCATACCCCAAAATCAATCAGTTAATCTTCAGGGATGTGATAGCATTATTACACAGAAATAAAGCTACTTAATTCCTATGGCTTTATTGTTTTACTGAGTCATCAAATTATTATAGCAGTGCTGTATATAGCACAGGAGAAACTAAAGAGTAAAATTGATTCACTGTCATGGAAATTAATGTAAGGAGAAAAGAAATTATAAGAAGACTATACTCATAGGTTGCTGTTTCTTAATCAGGAACGGCCTATCTGGATAGCAACATTACAGACGTCAGTGTGCTTCTCTTAAGGAGACCCGTCCCAAAGATTTCCACGACTGACTGTATTTTTACTTTCTAAGCTGTCTGAATTTACATAAGCATTGTAAAAGAGTACGCTTACAGTTCATCCTATAAGATCTTTATTCTCTCGGCAATAGATTTCACTTACATTTTTTCCACATTCATATTAACATTGTCATTGTAATGATTACAGCATGACCACACAAGTATCTTAAAATGCTGGATGCAGAACCAAAATAACCTTTCAGAGCAGAATAGTAAACTACCTCTGTTGCTCACACGATACACATTTTGACAATTAAAGAATCACGAGCTCTAGCACACCACATTTCCAGCACTGCTTCCTCTTCTGTGTCAAAGGGAAAAACTATTCCACTCTTCTCTTACAAAGTACGAAGGTCCTTAATTAAGTAGATTCTATTTCTTCCCAATTAGGAAGTAGTAATATTAGGAATTAGTAAAAATGTTAGCAACACAGAAAAATGAAAAACAAGCAATGGAGTAAAAGGACCACATGAATGCGGAGAGGTAAAAGCATAATGAATGCAGAAACGGTAGATCTGCACAGGTTAGTCCCGACCATTTTCTACCTTTTTGTAAGTTAAAAGAACTTTGAAAATAAAAGGGAGCAAACCACTTTTGCATGAAAAAGGCTTCTCTGACAGCCATCAACAGACACTGTTTAATTTATAACTGTTTAATTTCACCTACTGATGTCTCCTACATTGTGTGAGAACACTACGGGACCTCAAAAAGAATAAAAAGAGGAAGAAGGCTTGATCTCCTTTTAGCAGGGGGCATCGTCAAAGCTTTTTCATGTGCAAAACAACCAACACAAAACATCATTTGTTCCTTTGAAGGTTCAAGTATTCCTGAAGACAACTGCAGTATCTGTTGACAATAAATAGATTTAAAGAGCAGTCAGAAGAAAAAAAGGAAACTCCCTCTCTTGCATACAGTAATCATCAATAAGGCATTGCAGCAATGACATTCTAGTTTTTAAAGGCGCCTACAAAATAGGCAAAACACACCTAATACGGTGTAATTCAGCTCACTGTGAAGAACAATAACATCCTCTTTAAAAGGATTAGAAGTGGCTTAATATTTCCCCCAAATTAGCAAAAGAATACTAGCAAATACAATTTACAACTCTAAAACCCACTTAGCTTATTGTCCTTACGTAAACACTGAAAAGCATGCCTTTCAAAAAGTCCCAAATCCTCCAAGCTGTTAAGAAAACCAAATAACTATCTAAATGCCATCAAATCTCAAACAACCCAAACAAAAGAACAGAACAGCACTAAGACGGCCAAACAGTGATTATAAGCAAATCACAAAACACTTCAAGAGCTATCTCAATCAAAGCAAAATTACCACCCACCTACATCTGATCAGGTTTCTGAATAGCGACTTAAAAAAAGGAGCAAACTAAGCCAAGTAAATCACATACTATTGCACTTGCACTGTTTGATACTTTTATGCAAGATAAACCTCTTCCCTGAAGCTGCTACTCCCTAAAGCTCTTAGGAAGAAGCCCTTCAACCACCCACTGCCTCATTCCTTCTTCTAAAGACTGTGGCTGCCTCTTCTAATATGCAGAGATGGAGTTCCACCTTGTTTGGCCTCACTATGATTTCCAGGTCTTTCTGATATCCCAGGGCTCATTCCCTTCATCTCTGTTTCTTTGCATGCTTGGAAGGCAAAAGCCTAGGGTGTATAAAATTGGAGAACGAACTCAAGGGAGGAGCAATAAGGACAAAGTGGACAAATTTGCAAGCTGGAGGTTGTGGAGGTGGGAATACAATCCAAGTACACACTTCTGCTTTTGGGGAGGGACCCAAATGCCACGTGCTATGACCTTTTATGAAGCTGAGTCAGCTTCACAAGAAAAAAAGCACACAATGAGGAAACAATACCTAACCTCACTTTTGAAAAGTGGATCTTGGTATTTCAATATATCACAAAGGTGTAAATTTCTCTCATTGCTACTGCATCACCACACCACCTGAAACTCCTTGCTCCTCAAACACAACACATACCGCCTCAAAACAAGGAGCTTCCAAAAGCCATATAAATTAGCAGTTGTCTTATGCCAGGAGGGCCTCAGACACTCCTCAGAAAGAAGATAAAGCAAGAATTCATGTTGCATATTTCCTTTTCCCACCTGAAAGTACCCTGCAGTTTCCTAATCTTTATACGCACAATTCTGTATGCTTCTACATCTGTGCTCCGTTTGTTCCCCTGGGCTGACTCAGACCCTTATCCTCCTTCCTTTGGTCGCAGAGAAAAAAAGAGATTGTTTAGCTCCGGGCTAACGTGTAAGCAGGCTCTCATGGCTTTCCAAAACTGCAGCCTGGGACAGCAGCAAAACAGAGTCACCAAGAACAAATTTTTGGCTGAAGTGGACCCCAACAAGAGGATTTTGTATACAACAGTGCCATCTTCAGTTACTTCAGGAAAACTGCTCTACTGAAATACGAAGCTGGATGCAGGGGCGGGGGGGGAAGCGCCATAAACAGGGTCCAAGAGGTAGCACGGGGCTAATGGTTCATCTAAAAAAGCAGAGCAGGTGCCTCCAGCTAGCATAAGAAGGTTAATTCCCACTCCGATCTCAGTTTTGGTTCCAGGACCAGCTCATGTAAGTCTTTAATAGCAGAGGAAGTCTCCCACTTGTACCTCCTTTGGGGAACAGAGCTGTTAAGCTCTAACTAAACATGCAAAATAACCACATAGCTAGATATGTATTATTTTTGCAGGCATGGCAAAAAGGCTGGGCTCTCGAATTTTTCATATATGCTCAATCTAAAAAAATACTACAGTTTGTTTCTTAAAGGCAGTAAAGTTTGCTCAATTCCTTCAGTACTAGCAAATAATGTATTTTTCCAGCATAGACCTGCAGAATGCATACAGAGCCATTTACACATACTGACAGCCATTTATCTACACCATCTGGCAAGCTTTCTTGCATAGCCTCAACATTTCAGTTTCTTGTGCTAAATAAAAAACATCATGCTTCAGTATACACACATGATATTCAGTGTTTGAAGAGCACTTTAAAAGCCACATGTCTAGTTCTTACTGCAGCACTCTCTGTGAAGTGATGACAATAGAAAAGTCTTATCCTTATAAACAAAACACAGTATGAACATCTGTTCACCTGGTGCTTGGAAATAATACCATATAGAGACAAAGCAGGAACTGTTTGTACACAGATCCTGGTTTCCAAATGTTAATCTTGTGTCTTTGTAGGATTCTGTTGCTAAAAGCAATGATTAAACAACACATTGTTATATAATCATTCTGTAGGTTCAGCCTTCCTCATACCTTTTGCACTTAAAATCCTCTGGATTAAACTGTATATTCATGATTCCATAATTGCTTTCATCGCCTCCAACAGGAACCAAGAGAGGTTGGGTATCTTCTTCCATATTTGGTGAATGTGCCTCCTTCTTCTAGATTCTGTCAGTTATTCTGACCTAAGAAAAAAAGAAAATGAGACAACTGCAGTTACGTAAAACTGCATCCCTGCTGTGAATTTAACACTAGCAGAGTCCCATAGCTTCAGAAGCTGCTGGGGAGAAAACCACCAGAAAATCCCTTCAACTCGCCACTTGAGAATTCTCATTCCACAATGCAAACATCATGTGCCAAGCACAGCAGGGACAGTAATTTTTTACAACACCCATTTAAGTAAAGTGGTCAATGTACAATTGTGCTCTCAATCTCTTTTAACACCACAACAGGAAAAGTAAAATAAAGGAATATGACAGATACTGTTTCTTATATTGGGACTGAAATAGGTTTGTAAAAGTGAGGCTCTGAATGTGAATTTCCTTTGAGCTACCACAGCTAAGAATCAAGTCCACCATATGCAAATTAACATTAAGTATATTTGCATGTAGGTCTTACTTTCGTGCTTTCAAAGCATAGGACTCCTTTTCTTACTGCTCCACTGTAAGACCAGTGTGATTTTTAAAGGAGCTGTATTTGCAATTTGTAACAGTACAGCTGAGAACAATTTATCAGTTATTAGAGACTATTGTTTCACTAAATTACTTCAAACTTTGCAGCAGACACATACGCAGTTTTCCAGTGTATTTCCCAGAATAAAGATCAGATTATTGCAGACCACCATGTCCAAGCTCTTTGAATCAATGGTAATGAAGAGTTTAATAATGCATTAATAATAGCGTATTATATTCCTTCAGAGCACTCCTGGCCAAACAATGGGGAGCAGATAGCTTTTACGCTAATGGGATTCTACTTGGACTGAATTACAGTCCTCACATGGGACTCGCTGCAGTCTCATGTGCAGCTGAACAAATGTAATGGCTTTAAGAGCTCTCATCCCCACCACATCCTGAAGAATTCCTCAGCCAGAACTCCTCCTTCAAACAAAAATTGCAGAAGTATCTGCTCTTTCAGGGAAACTGTTTCCTGATGCTTTATAATGTTAGACAGGAAAGATGAAAACCAGAGGCGGCACAAGATAAGGAAGGATGGCACTGGATGTTTGAAACCTGGAGTGGTGATGGAAGAAGTTAAAAAGAATGAGATGTGTATCATCCTTCTGCATCCTTATGGAAATACACTGTAAAGGCCCAACCCCAGAAATTACATCAACTGTAGGTAAGCCTGACACGGCTCTATGCCTTCCTAGCTGCATGTGCCAATCCTCTTGTATTAGCTCATCCTGCTAATGCCTATGGCAAAAAAACAAAGAATCTAAAGGAGAGGATGAAAAAGGAAGGAAAGTTAGCATTTTTCAACCATGTTTACTCTCTGGGGTTCAAACAATTGCTAAAAGCAGACTGGGAAAACACTCAAGGAGCACATGGGCGAGGACAACTGCATTACTAAGACTGGCTCAATATGCTGAGGAGGTGTATTTTAGAGGACAGGCACCCACTCTCCCTCTCGCTCCCTGCTCCCAGTGTGCTGAGCACAGGTAATGGCTCTCTGCTCTCAAGGGGAGGTGACCACTGGAGACTCCAGCTGATGGAAATGCTACTGGAAGCACTAGTCCTGCCCTTGACAGCTCAAGGGCATTTGTGTGATCCCTCTCTTCCTTTCTTCTGCCACTCTAGCCCTTCAATAAACCATCAGTTCAGATTCTTTACCCTAAAGTCCTTCCCTTCCACATCATTGCTGCTGGTTCTTTGGCCTCAACAGAATGTCTTACATTCTCTCATCCTCCTCAGCTCCTCTGGTGACGCTCAGCTTTTGAATTCCTGCTCCTCATTTCCTCTCTATTTTCTGTCTCTTGTACACGCTGTCAAAACTGCTTTCCAAACTTACTAAGCACTGTTTACAAAGAGATTTCTAAGTTCACAGCAATATTTTTATTTTCTTTCATGTGGCACTCTGTTCCTTTCCAAATTCCATTTATAGCTCTCCTCTTGTTCGTTTCTTTCCTATTGATTTCTCTCATTTTTCTATAGCTCTAGGTCACCTCCTTCCTCCCTACTGATTCCACATTACGCTCCCTTCCTTTTATGCCCTGCACCCTCCCACTGTTAAATTCACCCCAGTGCACATCAACTTGTGAAACAAAATCACAGGCCCAGAGATTTCAGACACAGCGACAGATACCCGCCTCCTACTCTGCCATTCCCATTACAAAATGGTTTTTGCATCCTTCTGACCATACCCGAAGACAGCAACCTTCATGGCCTTTTTTTTTTTTAATTGTCACCTCTAGAGTCCACAGCCTTTTTCTAATACGTCACCAGTGATCTCAGGTAGAAGACTGGTACTGTGGTATTACCTTCTTTTATTCCATTCTTTCATCTTTTTCAACTTAACATCCTGCATGCTTTTTCTGGACAGATACACCTAGGTCTCAAAACCAGATCCCTCATTTGTTCTGCATTTTGCAACACTCTCAGAGTTTAAATCACACTTTGGATTTAGCCATAAAAATGCAGATGAAAATTTAAATTCTTAATGGCTGAAATGAAATTCAAAATAAATTAAACCCCAAAATACTCATCAGTTTTTTTAGCCAGAATTTTCCAGAAGACTGCAGTAGTGAGATCCCTTCCTTCCTCAAGCCCTGTTTTATGGTGCAGATGAAGCAGACATTAAATGCTTATTTAAGATACTGCTTTGAACGTATCTCTTCCTTAAAACCTGTTGTAAATAATGTATTTGTGCTTTACAAGTCAATCTGACAAATGCAGACAACATTGATCACCAGTTTGATTTTCTCTGCACGATGACTATAGATATAGAACCCAGAACATTTTATAGTATTCCATAAAGAAAAATAATCCTTCCAAAACACAGCATACACTGGATTGAAAACATGACTTGGCGCTTATGCTTACTGACTTTTTAGGGTCTATTTAAAAGCTAGATTGGCAAAAACTGGCAAAGAGAGTTTATTTTTAAGTGCTTATTATTGAAAACAGATAGGTGAAGCTTATGACCAGCAAACTGATTACTTTATAAATAGATGCTGTTATCATATATGTGAAGGCTGCAGCTGGAGCCAGTACAGCTTAAAAGAAAACTGTAAGCAGAAGAGCAAAATGAAGAAGAATGAATCTGATTAACCTCTCTTTTATCTAATTTCTGTCCCTTTTGACTGGACTGTATTCTCAATAAGCACTTTTAATCCATGGGGATGGAGCCAGTTGTGCTATCTGAACTTACTACCTGACATTTTCCATTACAATAACCTCTTCTCAACTGCTTACTTTCCTTGTGTCCTAGTTATCTAAAGAGTTTTTTTTATACCGGGTATCTGATCTATGTTAACCTCATTCCAAAGGTTTCCTTTAAAAACCTGTGCTATGACATGCGGTATTCTCTGTATGGTCTTCGAAGCCTATAATCAGGACTGGGATGTCAAACTGAAAGAATTCATGTCAAAAATCAAAGTTGCTTGACAAACCTCATTCTGTTTGTATATCCTATGATACATTGTGGTTACAGTTTCCATGAGCCCATTGTTGCATTCAGAGAACTACTATGGATCTCTGGGAATTAATGTATGGCTGCTTGGAAATGGAGAAGGCTGATACCTGCCTCAGTTCTTGTCAAACTGGATTTTCCTGCAAGTGGGAAAGAGGTTCCTGCTAGCTGTAGTGTACCTGGAGTTGGTGATATGAATTCATGGTACTTTGCCTCCCGCAGTACTATGAGTTAAATGCATCGCTCTTTCCTGCTGCTGAGCCTCAGTGTCTTTCCTCTCCCTATTTGTGGTGGCACAGCTATTTGTCTTCTTTCTTAACTTGGTGGAATGAACAGGACTAAAAAAATAAATCTAAAGAGGAAGAGAATTGTTTTGGGTCTGTTTTGGGGTTGTCTGGGTTGTAGTTCTGCAGAACCAGCAGTTTCACTGTCCATTTGAAGAGACACGGGTATAGTTTGTGGAAGAAAGAAGGCAATGCTGCTGGAAGCATAACTAAAACCACAGCCTGAGGAACCATCTACCTCTGACAGTATGTTCCCTGTTTTCTTCCTTCTGCTTATGACCTACTTTGTGTAATGCTACAAAACAAAAGTATTTGTGCTGTGCACCACTGAATGATATTAAATATTTTGACAGCAACCATGTAACTCTCAAACTGAGCATTCAAAATCAGTGGATTTTTTTTTTCTTGTGCTTTATTTCCTAACCTTAGAATAAGGATAATGTCAATACTGGCCATAACTCACAGATATTTTGTGAAATTTATTCTTACATAAAACTTTGCTGTGATTCATACTAAGCACTGCCAAATATGTCTTAGAAGAACAGTTATGGTTTATTGAGCAGCAAATAAGGTAGATCATTCTCATGCAAAAAAAAACCGAAGACTACCACTTTGCTGCTCTTAACAAAACATTCCCTATACTGAGAACTGTCCAGCTTGAGAAAAATAATGATCTGGTAACTAAGTATTTCTAATGGGTATCATAATTCATAGGTACCAAGATGGCTAAAATTGCCTAGGCACTTTTAATTTTCATTAGACTTAGTTAAGTTTAATACTCCAACCTTTGAATAATTCAACTTTGCAACCCCTGTCATTTTAAACACAGGTTTGTGTGTTAAATACCTGTGCACTGACACGAGGTTCACTTTGTAACGTATTTGGTAACAAATGAGAAATAGGGTTTTTCTCCTCACCATATTGCACCCTATATTCTTCTCTAAAAATCCTTCTTGTCTCTCCAGGTCCTCTGCCATTTGCTTGTCACCATTCTACTCTTCTGCAAGTTCTCTTCTTTCACCTGCAGGGACCTGCTTTCTGTCCTCCTCTGCTACAAACATCCACGTGTCTCCTCTTAACTTCTACTAGTGACAGAAGATCAGAGAGTGCTAACTGCATTCTCCCACAACTAAAATCTTATTGATAAGGCAGGAACAAATGAAGAAATTTTATGTTTGCCCCTGCAGCATGCTGCATTGCCGCTGAGGGGAAAGGGCTGTAAGCGTGTTTTCTCTGCACCCATATTTCTTTTCCTTTCCAACTCAGCTTTGG